CTCCCCCGATCCCCTGCATGGATTTCACTTCCTTCCAACGCTCCTTTCATCTCCCCGGTCGCGAGTGACTCTCTCGCTCAGCCCGCGGCCGCCGTCCCCGCTGCCCGTCCCTCTCCCCCTGCAGCTCCGGGCCGCCCCTTCCCGCGACTAAGCGCGACCTCAAAACCTAACGCCACAGAACGGCCCGCTCGGGGCCGCGCCCTGCCGCCCCCGCCATGGCGTTAACGGCCGCCCCGCTGCTGCTGCCGCCGCTGCTGCTGCTGGGGGCGGCCGGTGAGTGTGGGCGCCGCCGGGAGCCGCTTCCCGCCGCCGGGAGCCGCTTCCCGCCGCCGCCTCGAGGGGGAGGCCGCGCTCTGCTCGGGCCGGGCCCGCCGGGCGGACGTTGCGGGGAGCGGGTCGGGAGGAAAGGAACGCTCCCAAACGGCGCGAGCGCCATGGCCCCGTGTTTGCCCTTCTCATCCCCGGTGTCCTGTCACAGCTCTGCTGGAACCGCTTTACACCTTAGCGTCTGCCCCGGCTTATCTCCTGCCCTTTTCCTCCTCTTCCCCTCCTGCCCAAGGTTCTCCACGGACTTCTCTTTATGTGTTTTGGAAGAACTGGCCTCAAGAGCCTTTCCAGCAGGGCTCCTACTTGCCCAGTGCAGAGAAACGGCCCTGCTGCTCCTGCTGGTGCTGCGGCACTCGGGTCTACGGCAGCTCACGGCTTGGTGCTGCGGGCGTTTGGGCTATTGCTGCTGCTCCTTCCTTATTTCACTTTGCTTCCCCMCCCCCCCCCTTTTTTTTTTTAAGGTTTGTTTCTAGTTACTTCTCTTGGTTACAAAGGAAATCCTGTGTTGCCTCTGAAAACCCAGATGATAAGAAAAAGATGTGATAACATTTCTAAGTAATGCAGTCAACAGGCTGCTGAGAATCTGACCTACAGTTTAAGAACACTGGGAGATGATAAATCAAGGTCGAAACTTGCATTTCTTTCAGTATATGCTTTTCTTATCCTCTCCTTCTCCTTCTCCTTCTCCTTCTCCTTCTCCTTCTCCTTCTCCTTCTCCTTCTCCTTCTCCTTCTCCTTCTCCTTCTCCTTCTCCTTCTCC